TGGGTCTTTCACCGCAAAAAGACGCTAAAATTTCCTGTATTTAATTATGGTCACCCGCTGACACACACACACACACACACACACACACACACACACACACACACACACACACACAAACAAAAAAAAACAAAAAACAAAACAAAAACAAAAACAAACAAACAAAATTCACTAAAAAGTTTGAAGGATTTTTTAAAAATATAATGTAAAAATCCAAAAATCCTTTTGCCCTCCTTACTGACGTAAAGATTTTGACAGTAAAGCTTTTTTTAAATGAATCTTGGGACATTTTTCCATCATGCATGCTGATTTTTTAGCGAATATTTTGAAGTACCTATATATATATATATATATATATATATATATATATATATATACCCTTAGTAAAAGTGAATCCTCTTCTTCTCCCCTCAGCTGTGGGTAAATAGCAGAACAGACTGGGTTCTATAAGCCTTGGTTCTGGTCTGGGGAAGGACAACTCTGAATTCAAAACCTGCGGAGGGGTCGTTTGGGGACCCTGTGGCATAGTGCACCAGGTCTCTGTATTCAGCCCTTCAAAAAGTGCAGATGGTTTTGCACAAAACCTTCACCACTATAATCAAATCTCATGTGCTGTTCTCAGGCTGTCGGTTTCCTAGGAACTGATCTGCTTGACCCTCATACGTCGAATGTCGACGGGAGAGTCGAATAATAATATATATATACACGTGCAATAAGTTCAATAAGACCATATATATATATATATATATATATGTGTGTGTGTGTGGGGGGGATACTTTTTAGGAGATTTTGGCAGTATTCAACTGAGACGTTGGTGTTAAGGGATTTTATATCTAGACTGGCCATGAGTTTGTCAGTCATGTTCATTTCCCTTAGTTTTAAACGAACAGAAAACAATAACTGATACACACACACATATATATTTCTTATATATTTAAACGTTATATTTTAGTGGATACTAAATGCTTGAGTAGACGCTATGTTCTTGTTTGTTTTTGTTATTTTTTAACTGAATTACTTACACCCACATGTACACTGGAAAATCTTAATAAATAAAATGTACCTAAATTTATTAAGGTACACAGGCCAGTAAATTGAATTCATACTGTTTAAAAACAAAACAAAACAAAACAAAACAGTACAACAGGACGTCTACTTAAACATATCTAATAAAATATAACATTTAAACAAAGTAGTAAGAAATAATGCTGGATTAAAAATGAGAAATTCATTAATTCCTTAGTAATATATATAGTCGACTCTCCCGTCGAATTCGACGTATGAGGGTCAAGCAGATCAGTTCCCAGGAAACCGACAGCCAGACAACACCACATGAGATTTGATTATAGTGGTGAAGGTTTTGTGCAGAACCATCTGCACTTTTTGAAGGGCCGAATACAGAGACCTGGTGCACTACGTGCTACAGGGTCCCCAAACGACCCTCCGCAGGTTTTGAATTCAGAGTTGTCCTTTTCCTAGACCAGCGGTGGAGTAATGGATAGCGGCTTGGATTGAGGAATCGGAGAGCCGAGTTCGAATTCCAGTTGAATCCATTACATCACCTTACGTGCTAATACCTTTGGGAAAGGTGTAAATCCTCTTCTTCTCCCTCCAGCTATGGATAAATAGCAGGACAGACTGGGTTCTATAGCCTTGGATGGCAATTGGTCTAGGAGTAATGTATATATATTTTTATAAGACGACTGACAAGGTACTGCGATTAAGTTTTTCTTGTGTTCGTTTAAGTGTTTTTTTTTCTTGTCATAAAAATAGCCAACACTCAACTAAGAACATGGTCATAACGTGCTGACCGTGTTTTCAAAAAAAAAAAAATCTAACATTCAAATCGCTATAGATACACATATATAAAAATATACATATTCAGTTAAAAAAAATCCTTGATAATAGCTAATAGAAAAGCTTGGATAATTTGGACAGTTTTACACAAAATAATGCCCCAAAAAGAAATCACTTGTGCGAACACAAGAAAAATTGAATAAAAAGCTTAGCCGCAGTTACTTATCAATCGTTTTTAATGAAACTTGTATAAAACAGAAATTGTCGAGTGGTTGGAACTTTCGTTTTCTGACCATGAGACCCTGGTTCGAATCTCACTATGGTTGATTTGTCAGAAAGGAGACTTCCTGATATCGGTCTGGAAAATCCCAGTATGCGGCACCTTTGGAAAGAGCCTGAAAACCATATTCCGGGTTGAAACATTTGGGTCGATGGAACACATGGGGGTCATCGAATTTGAGTGTACTGGTGTTCAGATTGTTGATCATTCAAGATAACACGCTCTCTCCCAGAAACTATAACTAAGGTCTGCTCAGCATAGTTGCAGTATATGTGGGTGTTGAACAAACACAAATATGCCTGAGCGGGTAGACCGGTGTCCTCGAATACGAGTGGCCAGCTATTATGTATAAAGAAAGAGAATGGATTTTTTAAAAATTATTAATCCGCCATTTTTAGTTAAAGTAATACAACTCTGTCGGATTAATAAATAAAAAATCCCATCTTTACAAATTGTTTTGTTTACGTACGGAACTATGCAGGTATGTTAATTTCGAGAGTCAGAAAAAAATCTGTGTTTAAAGATATTATTCAACTTTGCTTGGTCATTGACGCGCTCTGTAACACGTCAGATCTATTGACAGCTTTCCCTAGGGGAACGCAGGTTCGAATTTTGCCGGAGAGCGCATATTTTTCTCTAATAAAATTTCTCGAATATTCAGACTGGTAGACGAAAATAAATAAATATACTATTTAATAAATAAATGGAGCGTCTACTCAAATATAAATATCCATTAAAAATAACTTTTAAGTAATATATATATATATATATAAAATGTACAAAGCCCGACAATTAATTTTAAGACATTTTTATGTTTATACATTCTTTTTTTCTTTTTTTTTTAAAGATACAAATATTTAAGTAAATGCTCTGTTTATAATAAACAGTATTAACAACAATTTCCGGCCTGAATGTCCGAAAAATCTTCATAGAAAATATGCGTCCTCCGACAGGAATCGAACCTGTATCCTATACGGAACCGTCATATAGCCTGACATGCCTTTAACCGATACATTTTTTTTTTTTTTTTATAGATATATAAACATAAAAATGTCTTAAAAATAATTGTCGGACTTTGTCCATTTCATAATGTGTGACGTCATTTGTTTACATTTGGATACGCATCGCGCAGATATGAATATACGAGAGAAAATCATGGAGAATTGAAGTTTAAAAACAGTAAAATCGACCTTGCTAACCGAAAGCTCCTCTGTGGCGAAATCGGTAAAAGTACGTCAGGCTATATGACAGTTCCGTATACGATACAAGTTCGTTTATTTAAATATTTGTATCTATAAAAAAAAAAAAGAATGTATAAACATAAAAATCTCTTAAATATATATATATGTATATATGTAATGATTTTCTAATATGTAAGTGAACATTTGTATACATTCATTGTAGACGTTTGATTAACTGTTTTGTTTTTAACGTGGAAATTGAAATCGGTAAACCGAGTTCAAATTCTTGTGTCGCCTGTTGCGTTCACTTTCGCATAAATGTCCTTTATCTCTTCGTCCAAGTCGTCTATAGGTAAAATTGCACGCTCGACTGGCTCTCTAGTCTTTGTTGGCAGTCAGTCTAAGAGAAGGATTGCTTTGAATTCAAAACCGTGGAGAAGCCAACGATAAGCCCTTATAATGTCTTTCTTAAAGAAGCGGAATCTGTGGATAGCCATGATCACCTACGCCCTAAAGGGGACGGTATTTAAAAATGATATACAATCTGCCAGTAACGGCTTGTATAAACAGTAAATATTCATTTCTTTCTCATCTTATTACACAGATACACACGCGCACACACACACATATAATATAGAATATAATTCTCTTTATTAAAAAATCTTTCATGAATAAAATATACTTTCCTGAAATTTATTTGAGGAATATTATCTGATTTAAAGGTTAATTAATCTAATTTGAAACAAATATTACTTACTTTCAGTTTAAAATATCGCAAAAATACATTTTTTTTTAAAAAGAAAACGATAGCCGTTTATTTAAGGTGTTAAGTTGACAGCTTCAATGACAGATGGAAGTTTTTCTACGGTATAAATATCTGTAAATTTATTTGAAGAATATAACGTAAGCGCCTTTTTCATATATATATATTTTTTAACTACCCAGTAGTCTTAGAAATTTAGGAAAATGTTTCTCTGTAATCGAATGTTTTATTGCATTTTAGGTACTTTGGCTTTCAATTTACGCTTAATTAACGCTTTTATTTTTTGATAATGTCGTGTATGGACATTCGTATTTACAAAAATCGGTGCATTATACAAACAAACAAAAAATTAAAATTCTTTTTAAAATATGTAGTGACGATGAACAGAACTTAGTTTTTCCATTTATGATTAGTAAATATAATTTTTACTTCATAACAATATCACCTAATCTCTCCAAAGTAAGACAGAATTTTAAAGATTTATGACTTTAAAAATTATAATTAAAATTTTAAAAATTAGACAATTCATGTAAAAATTCATTATCCATCGAAATTTTTTTCTTAAGACAATATTGTCCAAAACTGTCGATTTCTCAAATTATTTTATTGACACGTTAGCATTTTTTGAAATTTAATGTTTTTATTCAGACATTTTGAAAATGATCAATATTAAATCATTTTAATAAAAAACTACAAAAAATAACAAGACAACCGAATATATATTTGTACTTTTTTCATACGTGTATTGTACATAATCACTTCCATTAACATATATTGATAATCTTGTATACTATTGTTTAAGTATCTTCCTCTCATATTGCTATACATATATACCCACCCAAGTACGCATGGGTACACACTCCACACTCGTACGTACGTACGTACACACACACACACATATTCGAAAATTATAACATAAATATGTAATAAAATCACTACAAAAATACCCATTGTGTTTCAACACCTCTGGTATCTTATCAAG